TCCTCCTCCTCCTCCTCCTCCTCCTCCTCCTCCTCCTCCCCCTCCTCCGCCTCCTCCTCCTCCTCCTACTCCGTCTACTCCGCTTACAGACACAACTAATCGTCGATTCCCCAGAAAATATGGGAAAATATGGGAGTTGGGCGGGAAGGCAAAAACACAGAACACATGGGAACATAGGGGGAATCATTTTTGTTTGCGTATTTATGTTTGTGTGTCCCAGGGCCCCTTGAGTTGTGGAGGGCGATCAGGGGAGAGGAAGCATGTTGCCAAACACTGTCCAGATGTCTGAAACATGTGTGAAGCATGTCTTAAACATGTAAAAAACAGGTTTCGAGCATTTTTCCGACATTTCAAACACATCTTTAATTCAATGATAGGATTCTTAGAGTGTCCATTGTCATGGCATCCACAATCCTGGCCCAGCGTCGACCCCCAGAGCAGGGCTTGTTATGATTCCTCCGACTCGACTCGAGCCGATCTCGATGGCTTCCGATGCCGATCCGATTCCGCATCGGACTCCGATTCGGATGCCGGTTCCTCCATGGAGGCCTACTGGCCTGCCGATATTCACCACCCACCAAACCATCCCAACCCAACCCGAAGGCTCAGATTTACCCTCGATTTCCAGTGGGGGGGGGGTCGGGAAACATCGAAAAAACACATGTGGAACCCTTACCCCCCCAACCCGAAATTCGGGTCTTCTGGTTGGGTTGGGGTGGTCTGGTGGGTAGTCAGATATCCGCCGACCCGAATTTTCTGACTCGGCTGCCGACCTCCGCCGATCCGACTCCTTTCGACCGCCGATCCAACTTGCCTGTTCGATGCTGGGCTCGCTGGCCCTCCTGGCCGCCCACTGTCGACCCCCCGAAGGTCTCGACCCACTCCCATGGACTGGTCTCTCATCCATCGTAGTGTGAAGTCGGGCCTGCCCCCCTCCAGGAGGAACATTCAAAACGAGTAAAAATAGCCTGGGGACATCTTTTTGTGTATTTGGCTATTTTCCCCAGCAGTCCTGTGGTGCCGGGTCCTCGTTTTGAAATACCGGTCCCCGCGTTCTCCTCCTCCTCCTCCTTCTCCTACTTCCCCTCCTCCCTCCTCCCATCATCATCATCACCCATTTCGGCACACCCCTCGCACGCTTCGTGGCCCCAAAGGGAGCTCTACCGAATGTCCCAGTGGCTGCGTTCGCTTTTGCGGCGCATGCGGTTCCACCCCCCATTTCGGCACACCCCTCACACGCTTCGTGGCCCCATAGGGAGCTCCACCGAAGGCCCCAGTGGCTGCGTTCGCATGCGGCTCCACCCCCCATTTCGGCACGGCCCTCGCACGCTTCGTGGTCAGAGGCGGCACCACCGAGGGCCGCAGCGGCAGGTTCCGCATGTCGGTGCCGCCCCATTTCTGCACCCCTCGCACGCTTCGTGGCCCCACAGGGAGCTCCACCGAGGGCGCCGGCGGCAGGGTTCATCGTGGCGGCCTCGGGCCGACCTCGGCACACCCCTCACGAGGATCGTGGCCCCATAGCGAGCTCCACCGAAGGCCCCGGTGGCGGGGTTCGCTTTCGGCTTCGGGCCATTTCGGCACACCCCTCGTGGCTCTCAGAGCCCTCGCCTGCCTCTGCTCTGCTCCTCGGTCAGGGGGACGCCGTCCTCGTCGTCGTCGGCGCCCGCGAAGACGGCTACGAACGTGTCCCTGAGAATGTCGGGCCCCGGCGGGAAGCCGTGGCTACATAGGGAGCGCGGGCGAAGATGGTATTCACAATTGCGGTATTCACAGCTGCGTATGGTAGGGTCCTTCGCCAGGCTAATGGAGTATCTTGTTGAACATTTTTTCATGCAAAAATCTGCCTGTAGGGGGAGATGCCCGACCTATGAGTAGTGGTGTTTGACGGCCCCGAGGTCCGGTGAGGGCCCCCGGAGGCCGAAGAGGAAGGAGCGATCGCCCGTCGTCGGTTTTGTGTTGCTCGAGGGGGTCTGGGGCTGTGTTCCTGGTGGTGGTGGTGGTATCCGACGCGTGGTCGGAGCGTCCGCGGAGCAATCGGCGTGGATACGACGTGGATTCGACGCGCTCGGCGCGGCTTCGTTACGGGTCGTGGATCGCGGAGCGACAGGACAGGCGAGTTTCCTTGTCAGTAGCCTTAAGTCGGGCATCTCCCCCAAAACAGTACGGGGACGTTTGCTACTATTTTGATCATTTTTGAGAACGTGTCAAATCTTATGTTTGTATTTGTCGTCCAAAACCCGCCCGTAGGAGGACATGCCCGACCTAACCGCAGCCATTCGGCCGAAGTCCAGCGGATGGCTCAAGCTCGGCCCAGGTAGTCGGGCCGGGCCCGCCTGGTCCCTGCGTATCGGGCCGCGCGTAGGGGCAGGATGGGGAAAGAGAGGGTTACAGAATCTGCGGCATGCATATGCTTTCCGCCCGCCGCCAGGCCCATCCCTCGATTCGGCGACGGGCGATGGGGGGAGCGAGAAGGAGAGGGTCTTCTCAGAAAGGCGGCGGGGCTTCTCAGAAGGCCTCGGGCCTTCTGAGAGGCTTGCTGTGTCCGCGTGGGAAGGTTTAGAACAGTGCTCCGAAGGCCAGGGGACCTCCGAGCCTTCCGAGAAGGCCTTCTCCCTCTCGCGTCCCTCCGGGGCGTCCCGCCGATCGACACACGGGCGCCTCCCAGCGCCAGGAGGCGCCAGGAATACCAAATTACGCGAGCCGATTCTCTACCCTGCCCCTTGCTTCCCAGACCCCCTCGCGTTGTGAAACGATTGAGACGGGAGGTTAACACATGTTTTCGGCCTCTGGGGGCCCTTCCGGGGCCCTGGGACCGTCAAAAAACGACTTAGGATGAAAAACCGGTCCTGGGGAAGGAGTCCAGACCTCTGCGTGTCGACGCTGTGAAAAAAAACACGACGTCGGGGGTCTGAGTCTTACTCTTTCGTCCCCCCCGACTGCTGCGCGGCCCCGAACCGGCCCCCACGCCCCATTGGTTGTTCGGTAGCAAATGGGAGCCTGGTATACCCTCTCAATTTTGTCTTTAGCGTCGACTAGCGTCTAGGAGTCGATGAGATAGCGCCGATGTAGCGTGTGTTAGCGTCGATTAGCATCGGTCAGCGTCGATTTAGCATCGATTAACGTCGATCCGAGAGAGACGACAAGATGGTATGGGAGGCCCCTATGAGTTGCCACCGACTGGTTGCAATGGGGACCCTGCACGACGGCGCGCTCATGCTTCAGCTGTGCTCGGAGTGCCTCCGGGAGGTCGCGGTCCTGCGCCAGGAGTGATGGGCTTGTTTTCCACCACCATCACCACCATAAGTTGGAGGGGGAGGGGGTCCTCCTCCTCCTCCTCCTCCTCCTCCTCCTCCTCCTCCATTTCCACCTCCTCGTCGTCATCCTCCTCCTCCTCTTCGTCCTCCTCCTCCTCGTCCTCCGCCTCATTCCCCCCTCCAACTTGTGGTGGTGGAGAAAACAGGCCCATCGAGGAGCTGCGCGACGCCGTGCGCAGCCCCGCGGCTCCGCCGGAGGCCGCCTGCAGCGCGGCGGCGGCGGAGGAGGCCGCCGCCGAGGGGAGCTGCACTGCGCCCGCCGCGGCGCCCAGCGCGCCGCCGCCGTCGCCGCCGTGGAGCGAAGGCGCCGGCGAGCGGCTGCGGGCCCTCTGCCTCGTGCAGGACTCAGAGGCGACGATAGAGGTGAATAGCCCAGGGGCGCCGATGATCTATGTCTTCGACAAGGCTCCCAGGCGAATACGTGTAATGTCCGCCCCTGGGCTACTCACCCCTATCGTTGCCGCCGAAGGACGTCTGAGGAGGAAGAGGTACCCATTCAAGCGGTGGCGAAGCATCCTGGCGTGCCAATAGGCCCACCAAACAATGTTACAAAAACCAGTTTGTGGTTTCCACGAAATGTTCCTAGAATAGTTAGTCGCTTCGCTCATTCCGCCGGCCCATTTTCGCGCACCGGGACGCAGTGCACAGGAAGCTCTTGGGAGTTATCCGAGGCTTTCGGGGACGTCTTAACCTGGAGCCTTTTGGGGGCTCTTGGGGGCCTCTTGGCGGCCTCCTGGCGGCCTGTTGGGGGCCTCTTGGGGCCTCTTACGGACCTCTGGGGACCGCCTGGGGGATGCTTATGGCGGAGGGCTCGAAGTGTTGTTTCGTGTTCCCCCTCTGAGGCCTCTCTGGGGGCGTTCTTGGAGCCTTCTTGGGCCGTTTTGGAGTCGTCTCGGGCGGTCCTGGAGCCCTCTTGGGCCGTCTTGGGGCTCTCTTGAGGCCCTCCTGGACACTCTTGGGGCGATCTTGGGGACCTCTTGGGCCGTCTTGAGGCGTCGGGAAGCCGAAAAAGGGGAAATGCCCAAATCTGTCCCAAATCTATTGAGAATCCATGAACTCTTCTACCTCTTGGGGCCCTCTTGGGAGTGCCTTTGGAAGCCTCTTGGGGCGTCTGGGGACAATCTTGGGCATCTTAGAGCGATCTTGTGGCATCTCGGAGCCCTCTTGACCTATCTTGGGGGCCTCTTGGCCCTTCTTGGGGCTTTATGGGGCTTTCGGGAAGGCCTCGAGGGCGGCGCCCACCCGACCCGACCCGGCCGGGGATCTCCTCTGACCCGGACCGGCCGGGGACCGCCCAGGGTATTGTTCGTCAGGGGACCCCGAGAGGCCGCTCCGCGCGCGTGAAGTAGAATTATTGTACGCAGTTACTGGAGATCTTAGCACTCCTTTGGCCCGTTGGGCTGGCGATGTTATGGATGGGACTGGTGTCTGTTTTTCGTACATCGGGCTTGTATTCTAAGAACATTGTTTTGTTCTTAGAACATGTTTGGGTTCTGAGAGCATGTCGTGGTAGGCCGATTGGAATGCCGGAGAGCGTGTTTTTCTTCATCTGGCGGGTAACGCTTGTTACCCGCCCCCCCCCCCCGGATAACGCTAATGATCGTATTTTTGTTGGGGGGTGGAGGGCGGACCCCCCTCCTCCTCTCAGCAGGTATGGCGCTGTGCTCGCAGGCGTGGCGTGGTGCTCAAAGGCATGCGTAGTGCTCACAAACGTGTTGTGGCGTTCGCAGGTTCCCCACCTGTTGCGGCGCCGAATTCACAGCCATGGCGTGGTGCTAAAATGCATGTTTCTGTGCTCACCTACCCGTTGTGGCGCCTGCATGCTGTTGCAGTGCGCAGACTAGTGTGGTTTACGTCTACAGAACGCCATGCAAGTAAACCTGCCTGGCTCTATGGGTCTAAGGAGAAACAGGCTCTGGTCTCCCCCAGGACGGGCCGCTGCGGGAGCGGCTGGTGTCGTCCTTGGAGGGCGGCTCGCTGGCCACGGAGCTCGGGCCGCTGGGCGGCGGCGCTGCCGCCCGCGCGGGCGCTGAGCTCCGCGCGGGGCGGTTGCGAGCGCTGGTGCTGGACCCCAGCGGCGCCGTGCGGTGGGACGCCGGCAGCGCCCTCGCTGCTGTGGAGGCTTGTGGACCGGACGACGATCGACGAAGAGGAAGCACGTTGCCAAAGAATTCCCAGGTGTTTCAATCATGGCTTAAGCATGTCGTAAGCATGAAAATCATGCTTTGGACGTTTTCGGAACATGTCCCAAACATTTTAAGCACACTTTTAATTTCAAGTCGGGCGTGTCCCTCTACAGGAGGAAAATGCAAAAGTGGTCAAACAATAATATGGGAACGTTTTTGAAACGTTTTTTGGAGATTTTTTTCGGAGCATGTGTGGACGACGTTGGAATTGTCGTGCAAATTCCGCCTGTAGGAGGACGCCCGACCTACTTTTAAGATTCAGTGATCGGACCGCTAGGGTTGTGGAGGACGATCAATGGAGAGGAAGGAAGCATGTTGCCCAAACAGATCCAGATGTCTAGACCATGTGTTAAACATGTCTGGAACATGTAAAAAACAAGTTTAACATATGTTCAGGACATTATTCCGACATGTTTCAAACACATGTTAAGTTCGATGATAAGATTGTCCGGGGGTGTCCATTGTCGTGGCATCCGCAACGTCAGGGCGTCGGCTGTCGTGGCATCCGCGAGCGGAGGCCGACGGCGCAGGAGCGGCGCCGCCGCGCCTGTTCCTCTTCCCGCTCTTTGCGCGCCCGTGCCGGACGCTCGTGGAGGCGCTGGTGCGCATCTGCCGGCGGGAGCGCGTGCTGCCGCCGCTGTCGCTGCTGCTGGAGGCCCAAGTCTCGAGCAGTGGCGAAGCGCCCTGGCTCGCCTGTAGCCTATAGCCCTACCAAACAGTGTTCTAAGAACCTTTGGTGGCTTCCACGAGATGGTCTCGGAGCATTTCTGGTTGAGGCTGTCTTGTTTCAACACATCGGGTCAACGTTCTGAGAACCTTGCCTTTGTTATTCGAACACTCTTTGGTTCTAAGAACATGTCGTGGTAGGACTATAGGAATGCTGGGACGGTCGGTCCCTGCTCAAAAGTCGGGCACGCCCCTCCGCAGAGGGAGTATTCAAAGAGAGTCCCCCAAGATAGCCTGAGGACGATTTCTCTAGAATTCGTGGGCTATGTTTGAATTGCTTTTGGAATATTGTCACAAGGTTTCCTCCAAAATCGGCTTGTAAGGGACATGCCCGACCTGGCTGGAGGCACTGGCGGCGCTGCTGGCGCGGGGCGCCAGCGACCGCGAGGGCGTGGCCTGCAGTCTGCGGGCAGCCGTGGGCGCAAGTCAGATCTTGGAGGGCCCAGTCGACCTGCTTCTGGAAACACCCGTGCCTCGGGCCGATGCCGAATACCGTCCTCACGTCCTAGCCCAAAGCGTCTATGGACACATGGGGTGTCGTGACGTAGACACTTTCGGGGTGGATTCGTCCATGGACAGCGTGGCCGTTGCGTTCGGCGCGGTGCAAGGTCGGAGATAGGGTAAATCCGTCCACGGTACGTGCCTGTTCTAGAGCAGGTGCCGCATGGTATTCCAAAGCATAACCGTATCCGCGGGCTCGCAGCCTGAGCCCGTTCGGCCGCGACCCCGCGGATATACGGGGCGTTTTGTTCGCGGGCGCCCCCCGCGCGGGGCGTATCCGTGCGACCGCGTATCTGCGGGACCGCGCCCCTTAATATAGGCCGTGAGCGCGCGGATGCGGCGGGAGAGGAGGAGGAGGAGGAGGAGGAGGAGGAGGAGGAGGGAGGAGGAGGAGGAGGAGGAGGAGGAGTGAGGAGGAGGAGGAGGAGGAGAGGAGGGGAGGAGGAGGAGGAGGGGAAGGGGGAGGCGGAGGAGGGGAAGGGGGAGGCGGAGGAGGGGAAGGGAGGATAAGGAGGAGGAGGAGGGGAGGAGGAGGAGGAGGAGGAGGAGGAGGAGGAGGAGGAGGGGAGGAGGAGGAGGAGGAGGAGGAGGGGGAAGGGGGAGGGGGAGGAGGGGAAGGGGGAGGATAAGGGGGAGGATAAAGAGGGAGGAGGAGGAGGAGGAGGAGGAGGAGGAGGAGGAGGAGGAGGGGGAGGAGGAGGAGGAGGAGGAGGAGGGGGAGGAGGAGAGGAGGGGAGGAGGAGGAGGAGGAGGAGGAGGAGGAGGAGGAGGAGGAGGTATGTTCGCCGCTCGCGAGGCAGAGCTGCTCGCGGCCGTGAGCGGCGCGCTCGCCCAGCCGGAGCTGCGGGCCCGCCTGTACGCCGCGCCGGGGGGCCGCGTGGTGGTGCGCGACGCTCTGCACGGCGCCGGCGCGGAGGACACGCCCGAGGCTCAGAGGAGGAAGAAGTACTCCAGATTTCGTAATAAAAGGGAGGGGGTCTGGACCCTCCAAGACGAGCCATTTCAGACCTCCCCCGTGGGAGAACCCTCCGAAACATCGCCCCCAGACCCCCTCAGGCCCTCCAAGATAGCCTGGAAGAGACCCCCCCCGAAATGAGACCCCCCTCCCTTTATTACGAAATCAAAAGTACCCGTACCTCTACCCTTCCCTCGTGTTCTCCTTTTGGGGCCTCGTGGGAGGCCCTCGTCGCCACCGCTGGGAGATGGTTTTTCTTTCGGTCCAGGCCAGTTTGTTTGCATGGTCAGGGGGTGGGCTGAGCCTCAAGCAAGCCGAAAACAGCTTGACGTGCGGAAATCACGCAGGTCGATAGGCTTTTGCAAGCTCGTATCTGATTGACAAGAGGGGCGAGGGGTGGGGTGGGTTGGGGGGGAGGGGGGGGCGAACGCCATGCAAGTGAATTCGCCTGGATCTCAAGAAAAGCAGGCTCCAGATTCGCCTCGAAATTCTGGTCAGAACGCACCCCGGGAGTGATCAGGGGAGTAGCGGTATCGGTACCTTTTGATATCCCCAGAGGCGCCGCAGTTCCCGCCGTACGTCGACGGCGACGCGCCCGCGTCGTTGGGAGGCGCTCTCTGCGGCGACGTGGAGCGCGCGGCCGAGCTGGTGGCGCCGAGGCTGAGCGGGCGAAGAGCCGGCATAAGATCATATTTCCGTCGCCGGAGGTGCTTCTCCCAGGGCGGCTTGGAAGTTTATGCCCTGACGTGCCACCGTCGGGGTATAATCGGTGTCATCCCAACACACTAATACTGTGTGTGCGTCGCCCCCCAGGGGCGACGCGCGCGTCGAGAAATCTAATACTATGTGCGTCGTGGCGGGCGCTTTCTGTCCGTAGCGCTCGGGAAACGATGTGCTACAAGATACGGTTATACTTTATGTTTGGGTCGGATGCACGCCTCCACGGGCCTCTGGGGACCGCGGAAGAGCGACTCGGGATGAAAAACCGGCCCCACGGTTTGAAGGTGCGCCTGTACCTCTACAGGAGGAGTGTTCAAAAATAGTGCAACATAGTGTGTCCTGGTGCGTCCCAGATGAACTCTCCAGCCGCCCCTGGACAGTCGGGCCGGGCGAAAGGGGGGGATTGGGAAAGGGGGGGTTACGAAATTTGCTGCATGCAGCTGGTTTCGGCGCCTCCCGGCGCCGGGAGGCGCCGGGAAAATCAGCTACGTGAGCTGATTCTCAAACCCCCCCTTTGCTATCCCCCCCTTTCGCCCGACCCGAGACAGGCGTCTCCGGCGGCGAGCAAAAGTTTGTCGTAGACCATTCCTGCCGCCCGTGAAAATATAGCAGGCTGGCGGCCGTGCAGGCCCTGTGCGGCACGCGGGCGGCGCGGAGGGCGTCCGGTGAGGCCCCGGGGGCTCGACCGAGACACTGCTCTGGCGAGCTGTCGTGGGCGGCTTTCTCGCTTCGATTTCGTTCCCCAGATGGTCTGGTACCGGAAATTTTCGGTAGCGATTTCGACGCACCCCGAATTTCGGTAGCGACCGGATCTTCGTTTGAGGACGTTGAAATAGCGGATTTCAGAACGGTCTGATACTGGTATTGGGCGCTACATTTCGGTATTTCGGTAGCGACCGATCTCTGCGGAGCGCTACCGGAAATTTTCGGTAGCGGACCATCAGGGCTTGCATCGAAAATACCCGGAGACCCTCTCGAGTGGTGAAACAACGATCACGACGCGGGCGATTTTTCCATGCTTTCGGCCTTTCCGGGGCCCTTTGCCAGGCCCCGGGGCCATCGTGGCACGACCTCAGGAGGAGAAACCAGTCCCGGGGAAGGGGTGTCCAGACCTCTGGGGGTCGACGTTGCGAACCCAATCACGACGTCGGGGGGGGGGGTCCGGGAAGGCAGAGTGAGGCCCACTCGAGGGAGGGAGCGACAACAAATGGACAGGGAAGAGCTGTTTGCGGGTCGATCCCTGGTCCCTGGTGAGGCCGTCCAGCTCGGCGCCTCCGCGGCCCGGGGGGCGGAGGCCCAGGACGTCCCGAGCCTCTTCCTCGGCCTCCTGGGCGCCCTGCGCTGCCCGGGCACGGCCGCGGCGCTGGGCCTGCCCGAGGAGGCCTGGCGCGACACGCCTGGGGGCGCCCTGCTGTGGGCCCTGGAGCGCACTTGCTCGCCAATCCGCCAGATCTCAGCATCGTTTCACGGATCCTCCTCCTCCTCCTCCTCCTCCGCCTCCTCCTCCTCCTCCTCCTCCTCCTCCTCCTCCCTCCTCCCTCCTCCCTGCTCCTCCTCTTCCTCCTCCTCCTCATCCTCCTCCTCCCCGTCCAGATCCCCACCATCCCACCACCCTGCTTGGGGATGTGTCCCTCGAGACTCGAAGGGAACAGCCTATACCCCCATCTAATTAGGGGGATACATCGGCCAGTGTGGCCCGGGCCACGCCCGTGGGGATAGGGGTCGGGCAAACGACGCCCAAGATCTCAGATCATCGAGAACAAAATAACCCCAAACCCGAGTCACATAGTGAAGACGTGGCCTCGCTGAGGTCCCCGTCTTCGCATCAGGGATCATAATGCTGGGCGGTTTGGTTTGGTACATCTGCAGGCAAGACCCCCTGCCCCTAATGTTTCTGTTTCCCTCCTAACTAAGGTCCCCTCCCAAAAAGGGTTAGGGGTTCCTTCATTGTTACTCATCAGAGACGTCTGAGTTACCCTCACCTGATTGTCCTCATGCCGGCTTCGTCTGCAAAAAGTCCTGCACACAGCTGTTGTCACTCCAGCACTCCGCCCGAGCTCGCAGCGCGTTGGTCGCCTGCGGCGCCCCAAACGGTGTGGCGCGGGGGGGCGGCCTGCTGTACTTACCAAGCGCCCCCAACCCAACCCACAGGTCCCAGGCGCCCCAAGTTTTCGGGCTGGGGGGGTGCACGGGTTCCGTCGTGCCTCCTCGCTGCTCGGGAGCGTCCCCTCGCCGGAAGTGGACAGGCCCACGGCGGCTGCTTCTGGTCTGGTCGCGGTGGCCTGGTTTGGGAGCATCTCAGGAGCACCTGGAGTTCGCCGAGCCCGTGGTTGGCTGCTGGCCGGGCGCGGCCACGCATCCCGCGGCGGGGGGGGTGGACGTGCTGCCCGTGCAGGCCGACGAGTCGGACGGCGCCGAGAGCCAGGCCGAGAGCCAGGGCTCGGCGGAGGACGGCCGCGAGGCCTCTAGGCCTCCTAACTAGATGGGGTCGGAGTAGATGGGGCCGGAGGATCGTGCCGCATCGCCGATGCATCGGCGATGCATCGCCGATGCGGCTCGATGTGGGGACCACTTCCCTCCTCGCCGACGTCGCCGATGCATCGCCGACGTCGCCGATGCGTCGGCGATACATCGCCGATGTGTCGGCGATGCAGCGAGATCCTCCGACCCCATCTACTCGGACCCCATCTGGGAGGCCTCTAAGGTCTCGCAGCGGCCCGTCGGGGCGGAGGAGGTGCAGCGGGCACGGGCCAGGTTCGTGCAGTGCTTCAGGGACGACTTCTTTAAGGAGCGGCCGCTTCTGATGTCGCAGGTGGGCGACGCAACAAGACATGCAGTCAACTCACACAGCAAGGATGGGCAACCTTCCCAGGGGTACCCTTGCATCCTTGCCTCCTCGGTTCATCCTTGGCCACTTTCGTTGGCCGCGCCCCGCTCGAAAAGCTTCGAAATGGGAGTCTAAGGCCCTTGCATCCTGATCGCGCATCCTTCTGATACGGGCCGGCTGCAAACGGGGTCGTCTTCGCCGACATTGGCGCGTAAGCTGCCCGCGTAAGGTCGCGCGCAAGCTCCCTCGTCTCCACTGTGGCGTGCCGCGCCAGCGGCTCGCGTAAGCCGCCGCGCAAGGTCTCTGTGTCCTCTCGCGTAAGACCCCTTGTCAAATCATCGCTCAGGTGAACAACCTGTACAGGATGCGCAACTCTGGAGAGGCTCTGCCGTACAAGCGACTGGGGTACGAGTCTCTGCACGACTTCATAATGGAAACGCCAGGCCTCGAGCTTCACGGCGAGCGCAACAAGATGGAGGTGCGCATTGGCGACCCGAAGCTGTTCGATGATTTCTGTGACGAGATTGCTGAGGGCATACCCGTGCCTGAGTGCAGCAGGCCGCAGCCGATGCCGGCCACCTTCTTGCACCGGGTGGTCCTCGGACGGGGCCAGGACGAGGATAAACCCAGTCCCGAGCGTTCCGGAACGTTTTCAGGGTGTTCTGGAACTTTCTGAGAAGACCGTGGCGCCCGAGTCATCGTCCAGAGCCGCCAGATCTCAGAGATTTTCGATTGATTCGAGTGTGTGGCAAGGAGGGGTGCCCTAAATTGGGGGTTAAGAAAAGGGCCCTAAAGTTCTTGGGTTTCGATGGTTTTGCGATGGAGAGCGCGACGTTCCCACACCAAAAATCCATGGACTTCCTGGGGTCTCAGGGTCGGGTTTCTCGTGGAAAGTGTCTTGTGGATGGGCCTCCACTGTATCCTCGTCCCGGCTTCGTCCTAAAGGTCTGCGTCTTCCAGCACGTGGGCGAGCATGGGATCGACGCCCAGGGCTTCCGGAACACGTGGAACTTGCTCTTCCCCATGGAGAGGCTGCAGTGCAAGCAGCTCGGCTACCGCGACCTGAAGGTTATGATGTTCCAACCTACTGTAGCCTGGATCACCAGAAATAATTTCGAGCACCAGCAGAGTACCGAAACTTGATGTTTCAGCTGTCGGGTCCTGGGAGGCGACACTCGCTAGACACTGTTTCGATGTTTGCTGGGTGCTCGAAATTATGCCTGGGATGCGGTCCTGAAGTAAGATGGGAGCAACACAACCTGAAGGGCCTTCTCTTGAACGTCCCCTTCGTGGAGAAGACGGGCACAAAGAACAACGCCAGGTTTCAGGGGTCACGAGAAGGGGGGGTGGCATAGGCATTTGGGGGGGATGCATCGACCCCCAATCGCCCATGGATCGCCGATGGGGGCCTGATAGCGCCAACCTGCCCACACAGGTGCGGATTCGCTGTCGGGGTTCTATCGCCGATCTATCGGCGATGCATCGCCGATTCCAGGGGGGCGAAGAAAGAAAGCGGCGTCGTCTGCGCCGACATTGGCGCGTAAGTTGCCCGCGTACGGTTCCGCGTTAGCGCCCCGTCTCCAATGTTAGGTCGGGCATGTCCCCCTACAGGCTGATTTATGACGAAAAGTATCAGCACCCAGAGAAGAGCCACACATTTTCAAAAACAGGACTCGAGCTACATCTGGATAAGACAACGAGTCTCCACAACGGCAACAAAGGTTCTAGAAAAGAAGAAGCACACAGCCACGCAATTGTCAACGGAATGTCAATCGAGATTTTGCCGCCTTACAGATCGACGAAATATCTTGGGAGGAAGCTGCAATTCAGCGAATATCACGTCATCGAACTGGAGAACCGCATTACGACGGCATGGTACATATTCTTTGCTTTGCGAACTGAATTGACGGGGAAGCATTATTCAATGAACAAACGAATCCCGCTCTTTCACGGGGCGATTACACCGATTATGTTTTATGGATGTGAAGCATGGACATTGACAGTATACATGGAAAACCAGCACCGCAGAGCACAGCGACAGGTGCTGCGCATGATGTTGCGTGCGCCACGACGTCGGGACCCACTACAACTTGGACAGGAGGTATTGTTACAGGACGATTCCGACCTAGAGCCATAGGCATAACTATTGTATTCGACGGCCCACCCACAAAGTTGAAGGGATGATGGCGCATCTGCAAATCATTGATTGGATATCGATCCGACGCCAACGAAATTGGCCCAGAAATTCTGCAGCGCGGCAAAATACGAATGGACATCTCAGGCGTTACGGTGAAATGTTCAATTCGATTTACTTTTGGGTGCACGACGGCGACAGGGTCATCCGAAGAGGCGGTGGTCGGATGATACTGTACATTACGCAGGGCCCGACTGGATTTCAAAAACCCTCTCCGACAGTTGGGATTTTTGGGGGCTGCTTATGTAGGGAAGAGCGCGCCCGTACGGAACTCAATGCTAAAAGAGGGGGCCCAGCTTCAAGCTACCCCCCCTTCCTTCGAAAAAGGGGAGGGCTTCCGAAGCTACCCCCCTTTCCCCTTTTCTTTTGGAAGCATTTTTGAGCGGGGGGGCCCTGGCTAAAGCGGGGGGGGGATCGAAACTACCTTCCCTTTCTTCCATTTTCGAGGCCAGAGGCAAGCCCGGGCTTCCATTTGTAAAGGGGGGGGGCTTCACAAACTCCCCCCCCCCTTCCTTTGGAAGCATTTTTGAGCTGGGGGGGCCCTCCCCTTTCTAAAGGGGTGGGGTTCGGAAGCTACCCCCCCCCCTTCCTTTGCAGCCGGGGTCGCGCGGGGGTTCACTATAGGGGTCGCGCGCGCGTGGCGCGGCGCGCGTTGTAGGCGCGGGCCACTGGGCAGCCCTTCGCACATTGAGGTTCCAGGAGGTTTTTCGGCGTTTTCGGTTTCAGGGAGCTGTTTTCGCGCGCCGGGCCCGCTTGGAATCGAGTCGGACTGACGCATCGCGCCGGATGGACACCGGGAGGGGTCCGGGGACACGCTTGAGCGGAATTCGAGGTCGGCCCTTGGGTCGTGGTGTCATTTTTCTTGGGCGCTCCTTAATTTTCTTGTTTTCTCGTGTTCTCGGCCCGTGGGTCGTGGTCTCGTTTTCTCTGACCCTGTTTCGTTTTTTGTTTTCTCGGCCCCTGGATGGTGGTCCCGTTTTCTCGGATCCTGGTTCGGTTTCTCGTGTTCTCCGTTTCTCGGCCCTTGGATTGTGGCTTTGTTTTCTCTGACCCTGGTTTGTTTTCTCGTTTTCTCCTTTTCTCGGCCCCTGGGTCGCGGTCTCGTTTTCTCAGGCCCCGGTTCGTTTTCTCGTCGTTTCGGCCCTGGGGTCGTGGTCTCGTTTTCTCGGGCCCCTGTTCGTTTTCTCGTTTTCTCGGCCCCTGGGTTTTTGTCTCGTTTTCTCGGCCCGCGGTTCGTTGTCATGTTTTATCGTTTTTTCGGCCCCTGGGTCGTGGTCTTGTTTTTTATGACTCTGATTCGTTGTCTTGTTTTCTCGTTTTCTCGTCCCCTGGGCCGTGGTCTCGTTTTCTCGGACCCTGGTTCGTTATTTTTATTTTATTTTTTTCTCCCTCTCTGGGTCGTGGTCCAGTTGTCCTGGACCCTGTTTTTTTATCGTTGTCGCATTCTCTCTGCACCTTGGTCGTGGTCTCGTTTTCTCGGACCCCGTGTCGTTGTCTTGTTTTCTTGTTTTCTCGGCCCCTGGGTCGTGGTCTCGTTCTCCCAGGCCCTGATTCCTTTTTATCGTTTTCTCGTTTTCTCGGCCCCTGGGTCGTGGTCTCGTTTTCTATGACCGATATTCGCCGTTTCTCGGCCGGGGCCGTGGTCTCGTTTGCTCGGACCTTCGTTTGTTGTTATTGTTTTCTCGTGTTTTCGAGCTCGATGTGGACGTCGATGCCATCAAGCAGGACCTCGAAGACATTTACGTCACGAAGGACATGATGAGGAATATCGTGCAGGAGATCGTAGAGGAGAAGTTCAAGGAAGCCACGGCAGCTTCCGCCTCTCTCGGGGGACAGGCCGCTGGAACCACAGAGGTCGATGGGGGACAGGGAGTTGCAGATCCTCGTCGGGGGGTTCCAGGCCGATTCGGACGCGGAGCACATCGTTAACAGCATCGGCTCGTTCCTATCACAGGGCACCCAGAGGCACAAAGTGGTTAAGGTGGATACCTTTTTACCGACCCGGCGAAGTTCGGCGACATCCAGTTCGAGAATATCAAGGCCAAGACGGGCTTTTACCAGAAGATCCGCGACGCAGACAAAACAGTGGCAGGCACGGAGCTCTGGTTCAAGATCAACCAGACGTACGAGCAAAGGATTCGGGATAAGACCCTGGGCATGATCAAGAGTTACCTTATCGAGCACAGGGGGCACTCGAAACAGGACGTGCCGATCATCTGGCCCGAAGGTTTTGTCGAGATACATTTCAAGAAAGCTGCATGGATCACGGACGACAGCGAGGTGCATGCGACAGAGGAGGAGGAGGAGGCGATGAAGGAGGCTGTAGGGAAATCTATGAAGGAATGGCCGGCCAAACGAGAGTAGGGCCTACAACACGGCAGGCCCGGTACACGTACAAGGTTTGCATTGTCATCGAAGGTCAGTTTTGCCGCTGCTGGGGCTGGGCCCAATGAGGACCAGACGCATTTCCCGGTTGTGATGTTATGTAAGAACGTGCAGTCAATAATGAGGGAAGCTCGCTTCACAGACTTATTGGCTGAGGTAGATAGTATACCAAAGTGGGATGTGATATTGCTCAACGAGACATGGCGGGAGGCTACCGAGGAACAGTTTGCATTGGAGAGTGGTTATGTTTTCTGTGGCTTTGGAGGCGCTCCAGGGAAAAATAGGGTGGCGATTCGATTGCATTTGCGATGGTCGTCTTCAATGTTCTCTTTTACGGCGCTCTCGGACCGTGTTTGCTGGATGGACGTGGTTTTCGGCCTCAGTCGCATGCGAATCGTGTCTGTTTGCTTGCCATATGCTTTGTTGCCAGACGCAGAGGTGGAGGTCGTGCACAATGTTCTGTCCAAGTGCAAAGCTGACGCAGATAAACACAAGTTTATATTTATTGTTGGCGGGGATTGGGACGCTGTGATTGGAGCTCAAGCAGAGTATCTGGCTGACGATTGCGTGGGCGAGCACGGGGTAGGACAAGCAAATGACCGGGGCTTATGGATGGCATCTTGGGCCCGGTCTGAGCGCATGGCAGTGGCCAGCACGTCTCCCCCAAAACAGTTTGACCAACAGTGGACACACATCCACGCAGGAGTTCGTCGTCAAAGTGATTATTTCTGCATTGGCACAGGCGATCTGGACATGGTCGCAGACACAGGGGCCACCAATGACATCAACGTCGGAGCCGACCACAGATCTGCATCTTTGAGACTCAGAGCTCGCATGGGCGACATGCGAAGCAAGCCGCAGCCCAGTGGATGGCAATGGCCACCTTCATCTGTAAGCTTGTTCTCCGAGACCGTTGAAAGCAACGTCGATGAAAACCGCCCAGAAAGAGCAGATCCGTCTCACACAGAAGACGCACGCCACAGCATTGAGCGCTCGCTTGTGCAATCTCTGGCAGGTACTTGCGTGCAGCCTGAGCAAGCCAAGAGCAAGCCTGGGCGCTGGAATGCGGACATTCGCAGGCTAATTGCTGAGAGGCGAAGAGCACGACGCGAAGCCACAGGGGCGCAGCATCGGCCAGTGAAGGTGATCAGCAAGGAGTTACAGAAGGAACCGCGGAAGTTTGAACGGACGCAGAAGCAAAAGGACATCGGCGAGATTCTCCGGAACTTCCGCGGCCTTCGCGACCTCCCGGCGATCCGCGCCAAGAGGCGCAAGGCGCGGCTCGCCAGCGTGACTGGCCACGAGGGGCGAGAGCAGACACAAAGGCAAGCTAAAGTAAATGTCTTTGCTACGTTTTACGAGGGCCTGCATTCGCAGCGGCGCTGCCTTGACCAGCCAGGGCGAACCAGTTCAGCACGCCAGGTTCAGCACGCCCATAATGGCAGAAATGGTAAAGTGCGGAGGGCCTCTATTGATCGAGGGAGGCTAGAGCGGCTCTTTTCAACGGTGTCCTGGCCGGAGGGAAGGGGCCGCCTGCGTCGTGGAAGCCTTCCCGCGTTGCGGTGATCTTCAAGAAGGGCGACCCGAAGCTGCCGCATACTTACCGACCAATATCAATTATGCAAAGAAGCTACAAATTGTTCAGCATGGCGTTATTTGAGCGGCTGCAGCCATATTTAAAAGTGCAACAATCTGCCGACCAAGCTGGATTCCGAAAAGGATGTGCATGCGATGACCACCTTCTCACATTGGTGCAATTGCAGGAAAAATTCAAGGAATTCGGCATGGACATTTGGATCGCAGCGGTAGACTTCGAAAAGGCTTTCGACTCCGTCTCGCACAAGAGCCTCTGGGAAGCTCTGCGCGCGCAACAAGTCCCAGAGCCGTATGTTCGAGTCCTCTCGCGTCTGCGCGAAGGGCAGACGGCCCAGGCGTGCTCCGACTGCAACAGTCGAATATATCGCCCCGAGAGAGCGGCGTGGCAGGGGGATCCGCTGAGTCCAGCTCTGTCCAATTCCCCCCTGGAACATATCATGGGAGATCTGAAACAAACTTGGCGCAAACATCGGCGTGGGATACGCATCGACGGCGCGCGATTGACCAACCCTCGATTTGCCGACGACGTACTGCTGATAGGCTCAACAAGGGCAGACGTTCGACGCGTGCTGAGTGGCCTGCAGTCAGTGGCCGGCGCGCACGGGATGAAGCTCCACGCGGACAAGACCAAGATTCTGTCGAATGTCGAGGTCAGGAAGGGCGTTCTCAGGCAAGGAAGCGTGAAGGTGGGCGAGGACTTCATTGATGTATTGCCTTCTGCCGGGACCACAGTGCACCTGGGAAGATTGGTTTCCTTCTGTGATATTCGCGGCGCTGAGATACAGCATCGGATCTCTCGCGGATGGGCAGCCTTCGGGAAGTACAAACACGAGCTGACGAATATCCACTAACCGCTCAGGTACAGGATGCGCCTGTTCAGCGCCGTGATCACACCAACCGTGCTACACGGCAGCGGTTGCTGGACCATGACCGCAGAGAGGGCGAGGCGGCTCCAGACGGCAGAAAGACGGATGTTGCGGAAGATCATACCCGCGCGGCGGATTCAACATGAGCTCGCGGATATGAGCGTAGAGCCGGAACCATGGGTGGATTGGATTGTCCGCGCAACGCATCGGGCTGAGAACGCTGTCCGGCGAGCTGGATACCGCAGTTGGGTTGATCAGCAGCAGTTCAGGAAACAGGCGTTGACAGAGAAAACGGAGAGTCGCACCGACGGGCGGTGGTCGACCAAGCTTCTGAGTTGGACCCCATCAGGGCACCCGCCTGCCCGGCCGCCCATGCAAACGCTTCAGCGATTGAGCTTGATGCCTTCTTTCCCCCACTGCCAATGTGCGCGTGCAGTATCTCACTGCACAACAACCGCCAGGGTGAGGTTTTTTGCTGATTTCACCACGTCGACGGATTCTTGCACATTTGCTTTTCTAGCGAGCCCGACCGCCCTCCAGGGGCCCGGGCGCGGGCGACCCCCGCGCCGCTGCTTCCGCTTCCGCTTCCGCTTTCCGCTTCTCGTGTTCTCGGCCCCTGGGTCTTTATCGGGCTGTCTCGGACCCTGGTTAATTTGTATCGTTTTCCTGTTTTCGTGGCTTTTTGTTTCGTTCGTTTTCTCGGGTCCTGGTTCGTTTTCTCGTTTTTTTCGTTTTCTCGGCCCTTTCGTTGTGTTCTCGCTTTCTCGGGCCCTGGTTGTTTTCCCGTCGTCTCGTTTTCTCGGCCCCTGGGTCGTGGTTTCGTTTTCTCGGGCACTGTTTTTTTTCTCGTCGTCTCGTTTTGTCGGCCCCTGGGTCGTGGTCTCGTTTCATCGGACCCTGGTTCGTTTGCGCGTTTTCTCGGCCCCTGGGTCGTGGTCTTGTTTTCTCGCACCGGGTGTGGACCCTGGTTCGTTTTCTCGTGTTCTTGGCCCCTTGGCCGTGGTCTCGTTTGCTCGGGCCCTGCTTCGTTTCCTCGTTTTCTCAGCCTCTGGGTCGTGGTCTCGTTTTCTCTGACCCTGGGTCGTCGTCGTCGGTCGTCGGTCGCGCGTCGTCCGTCGTCCGTCGCCGTCTTCGCATGACCCCGCCCTCCTCGTGACGACCACGACGAGGTCATGCGAAGACGGCGACAATGACGGCGGCGGCTGCGACAACGACGACGAGGACGACAACGGCGTTGCACGAAGACGTCCAGCGTCGGAGACGGCAACGACGGCGGCGACGGGGGAGGATCGTCCGGCAGGGGGAGTTCACGGGAGGGGGGGGTAGCTTTTTGCATGGGGGGCCCAGGGGGGGGGGGTAGCTAAGCCCCCCCCTTTGGGGGGGGGGGGGGTAGCTTCGGAGCCGCAAAGGGGGGAGGGGGGGGGGGAGCTTTTGGGGGGGGACAAAAAAGGGGGAGGAGGGAGGGGTAGCTTCCAGCAGGGGGGTCCAAGGGGGGGGGGGGGATAGCCAAGTCCCCCCCGCCTTAAGTTTCGAAAGGGGGGGGGGGGGGGGGGGGGGGAGAACTTCCGGAGCGGCAGAAACGGGGGAAGGGGGGGGGGGTAGCTTCCGGGGGGGGGACCAAAACGGGGGGAGGGGGAGCTTCAGCACAGGGCGGCCACGGGGGGGTAGCTAAGGGGGACCCCCCTTTGCGAGTTCCGCGCGCGCGCTCTCTCTTATGTAGGCGGTACGGCGCCTGACCCTTCTTCTTTGTAGTATGTTTCATATTGTAACGTAGCATGTGCACGTGTGTGTTGTTTGTTCATCTGTCCCACAGTTGCCTGTTGCCACGGCGCCTACCTGCGACGCCCCCGCCGGCGACAGTTGCAGGTCCGATGTCATATGATCCGAAATTTGTCCAAACAATTCGTTTTTGTTTGACATGTGTTGGATATTCCTCCTGTATAGGGACATGCCCGAGTTAACTGCAATGTGGCGTGCGGCGCTGGCGGCACGCATAAACGCGGCGTAAGGTCGTCATGCCATCCCGCGTGAGACACGTTTTGATCGTCGCTCAGGTCCATGCGCCCCCCTGGTGCCAGTCCTCCCTATCATTGCCCCTCGAGTTTGGGCGTCGCGTAATGGGAGGGGGCGGCGAAAAATGGGGGAGGGGGGGTGGGAACGAGGGCTGCAGAAAAGGGGCCTTCTAGGGCACTTGAAGGGGCCTTTGAAGGCAAGAGAAGGGCATCCGTTGTGGACCGTTTCCGTTTTGATTTCGTTCCGCAGCAGAGGCAGAGCGAAGACAGGACGAGAGTGGAACGCTGACACAAGACGATGATGAAAATCACTGCTTCGAGCCCTGCGACAGGTTCAGCATCAAGCAGGGTTTCGGCGTGGGTCGTTTCCCGACAAAGGGCAGCGAGGGCTGCAGAATCTGGGGCGCTTCAGGGCCTCTCAAGGGGCCCTTCGGGACCCAGAACGGAGCCCCTAGGGCCCGAGAAATGCGCCTCGAAGAAAGAGGAGGAACAGGAGGAGGAGGAGGAGGAGGCGAGAAATAATTTCTCGCTTCCCCACTCAGCAACGCCCAACCACTGGGGCACCCCGACCGCCGAACGCCGAGCGGCAGCAGCGGCCCGCGCGCCCGGGTCTGACCACCCGTGCGTCCTTCGCGGAGCCGCGCACCGGAGGCCAGCTCTCGCCAAGACCTTCTGGCCCACGCGGCTCCTCCTCTTCCCTCCTCCCGTCCTCCTCCTCCTCCTCCTCCTCCTCCTCCTCCTGCTCCTCCTCCTCCTCCTCCTCTTCTTTTTCTTCCTCCTCCTCCTCCTCCTTCCCCCGCTCCTCCGTCCTTGCGTCCCTCTCCCCCTTACTCCCCCATTCCCTCCTCCACCACCACCGGAAGCCACCTCTCGCCACATTGGGACGCGCCCCCCTTCCTTATCCATACCCCCAACGTCGTGTTTTTTAGCAGCGTCGACTCCCAGAGGTCTGCACCCCTTCCAGGGGGACCGGCTTTTCCTCCCGAGTGGTCTTTTGACGCTCCCGGAGTCGGGCAAAGGCCCCTGGAGGCCGAAAATGGCCCCCAAACCTCCCGTCGTGATTTTTTCACAACGCGAAGGAGTTGGGGTTAATGGAGGATGACGATTAATCAATGACCGGGGGTCGTGTTCACGCGGCGGCGCCCGGGATGACGATTAGAAGAAACCGGCCGCGGGCTGGGAAACGTTTTTTTTGTATTTGTTTACTTAATTATTTACTTATTTATTATTTATTTATTTAATTATTTAATTATTTAATGTTTTATTTGTTCATTTATTTATTATATATATATATTAAGAAAAAACGTTCTCCTCCAGTCAGAAACTTGTGCAGAAATAGCAGAAAACTTGTTTTTCAATCGTTCTCTCCCCTTTTGGTATTAAATCGTCATCCCGCAGTAAGCGACGCCCGACAGGTTCTGCCTCAAGCCGGGCTTCGACGCGGGCAGCGTCTGGAGCGCCGGCGGGGCGCCTCCCTCCGACCGCCCCGCGTCCCCGTGGCGGGTGCGGGCCCCGGCCGCGGCGCCCTTCCCGTCGCCGCCGGGCAGCTGGGCGCCGGCCCCGCCGCTGCAGGCCTGTCCGCAGGAAGGAGGAGGGAGGAGGAGGAGGAGGAGGAGGAGGAGGGAGGAGGAGGAGGAGGAGGGAGGAGGAGGGAGGAGGAGGGAGGAGGGAGGAGGAGGAGGAGGGAAGAGGAGGAGGAGGCGGAGGAGGAGGAGAGGAGGAGGAGGAGGAGGAAGGATGAGGAGGAGGAGGAGGACGCGATGAGGAGGAGGACAAGGAGGAGGAGGAGGAGCAGGAGGGGAAGGAGAGGAGCAGCAGGAGGGAGGAGGAGCAGGAGGGAGGAGAGGAGGAGGAGGAGGAGCATGAGGGAGGAGAGGGAGGAGGGAGGAGGAGGACGAGGAGGAGGGAGGAGGAGGACGAGGAGGAGGGAGGAGGAGGGAGAGGAGGAGGAGGAGAGAGGAGGAGGAGGGAGGAGAGGAGGAGGAGGAGGACGAGGAGGAGGGAGGAGGAGGACGAGGAGGAGGGAGGAGGAGGGAGGAGGAGGGAGGAGGAGGGAGGAGGAGGAGGAGGAGGGGGAGGAGGATGAGAAAGCAGGAGGAGGACGAAGAGGGGGAGGAGGAGGAGGAGCAGGAGGACCAGAAACCCAAGAATTATCAGCGATGTTGGAAGAAGCCCTCCCTCCCTCCAAGCTCCACCTTTATAGGCCCCTACAACAATTCATTACCATTGAAGGAACTCCCTCTTTGGAAGGCAACCGTTTGCAGACCCGGTGCCATACCAAAACATTGTTCTCGGGATTCCAACGTCACGGATCAAGTATATTCTTGCGTCTTGACGATCCTGCTTCGTGACAGAACGCCATTTTTGGGGACTTCGACACAGCGAGCCTAAATAATTGTTACACCCGCATAACCCCAGTTCCGTTCACAATATTTTTCTGGCAAGTTGATGATGGGAATCCATGGAACTTCTGCAACTTACTAAAATGAATGTGCGCCTCGCTAAGGCGAGAGCCATGCGCGGATGCTCTTGCATGGCGAGAGCCATTTCCGGGTCCACGACTCCCAGTGGGAACACCACGGAGAGTCACCAAACGAGACGATCAGACACCTTCAGGTCACCCTGGGTGCGTCGTTCACAGCCGTCTGGCACGCCTTTGCCGTGCAACGCGCTGCCCCTGGCAACACGCGCGCTTTCGACCCGCGTCGGCACGACCAGCGAACCTGCGTCGCCTTCCTGACCTCACTTCGCAGCCACAGCTGCGATGTTCGGGCCATGAGCGACTCATTGGGCCTGGGTATCGAATGGGCGCAGGTGCGTGGACAACACTTGGGACATCGCGTCGGCGCGAACAGGGGGCGCCAGGCACCCTCACGAGATGGTCGGGATCTCGTGGGCGCCGACACTGGCCGCGCCCAGTAGGGTGGGAGTGCTCTGGGCACGGCTGGGAAGAGGAGCCGAGCAACCGATAGCCCATGGACCGGGAAACGGTATCGACAGAAGCACCGAGTGTGGGGCACCACCCAGCTTCGGTGAGATGCGGTTTTGACATAAACCCGTGTATGTGGACCGTCAGCCCGCCGTGATTGTCCCTGTCGTCATCAACTGCTCGAATATATGTTTCTTCCCCCCTCCTCTCACACCGTGTGCCTGGCATGCGCTTCCTTCCCTCCCCTCCTGCATCCTAGTGCTGCAGCGGTTAGCTACCACGCCGGGGTGCCTACCGTGCCTGGCGTGCACTTCGCCTCCTCTCCTCCTGCATCCTTATGCCACAGCGGTTAGCTGTTGCACCCATGCCGTGTGCCTGGCGTGCCTTTCCTTCCCTCCCCTCCTGCATCCTAATGCTGCAGCGGCTAGCTGCCACACCAGGGTGCCTTCCGTGCCTGGCGTGCACTTCGCCTCCTCTCCTCCTGCATCCTTATGCCACAGCGGCCCGCTGTTGCACCGGGGTGCTCTCCCTCCTGTTTCACAGGGTTCTTCCCTGGCGGCTGGGGTTTGCTGCCCAATACTGCTTCCCGATGGCTTTCAGGTGGTCCGGCATTCATGCAAGGATTCACACAGGGAACGGTGCTGCGTCACATTTGCTTAGGTCAGGTGCCCCCTGGCCTGCTCCTGGCTGGTGTCGGCCCCTACTGATGACCAGAAGGTTCCAGCGGGTCTCTCGCTACACTGCCTACCTTACGGTACCTGGACCTCGGTTTCGGCAAGTGCGGCTCCGTACGCTCGTTGGCCGACGTTCTCCTGCACGGATTTCGCTTTCGACAAAAGTTACAGGTTTTATTACCGTTTGTAGTCTTGTCGGTGATGAGGTTGCCCTTCTTCACTCTTGCGCCGACACGATGTTTTGGCATGTGTGTCGCCTAGTTCACGGATGTCGTCTGGGTGTGCCTGTCGGTCCAGTTCGTTTCTGACGGTGCTGTTTGCTTGGCTCGCACCGAGCGATCGACCTCTGCGTGTTTATGGTCGCGCCGCCGCGCCATTTTGGCTGCACTTACTTGCTGGTCGCCACCGGGATTTCCAACGCCACCGGGTTTGGGAGTATCGTTTCTGGCTCTCCTGAGTGTCTGCCCGCTCGCTCGCTTCGCTTGCCTTTCTTTTCCTGCTGCCTAGTCGCGGCCCGACTAGTGTTCGGACGGCTTTCGACCCGCCTCGCGAGCGTGTTGACGAAGAAGTATCCCCACCAGCCGATGACTGGATTGATTTTGGGATCATCTGTCGCCTACTCACGGCAAGCACATGGAGTGCCGCAAGATCAGGGCGGTCCCCGTCTTGTTCCTCTTCTGAGCTGCGGCTCTTCTTTTCTTCTTCCCGCTCCCTCGGCCCTTTCTCGCCGTCGGTAGATTCGCTTTGTGTTCTTCTCTTCGTGCTCTCTCTTGCTTTCGTTTTCCTGTCTTCTTCGCTCGTGTCGCCTTCTCGTGCTTCGCCTCGTTTTCGCCGCTCCTGCGCTGCCTCTGCGCAGTGGCCTTGCACATTTTTCCCGCGTCTGGCCGGCGACGCTTGCGCTGTGACCACCGGCCTTCGCTCGTAGCACGACCTTTCCGACGCCGCGCGGGTGCCCGCTCGCGGTCGCGATCGAAAAGTACCCCCACCAGCCCATCCAGAAACGATCAGCAAGGGAGTCGGTGAATCAGGAGCGGCAGGACGCACGCAGTTGCGCAACCGTCTTCGGGAAAACAAGGATCACAATGAGTTTCCCGTATTGAAGCTTCATATGGAAATCGGTGCGAGCTACGATGGTACTTCGATGAGGGGTGAGGGGTGTTTCGATGACTCGTAATGGCTGTTACACTGATTTGTGCATTAAACTCGCGCGTGTTTCGAAACATGGAGCCATATTGGGGCTCCCTTGGGGTTCTCTTTTGGCCCTCTTGCGGCCCTCCTGGAACTCTTTCTGGGGGCTTTCTTGAGGTCCTCTTAGGGCCTTATTGGAGCCCTCTTGGAGTTTTTTGGGTGGGTATTGGGGCCCTCTTGGGGCTCTTTTGGGAGGGCCTTCCTATTCCCAGGCTCATTCTGAATAACCGGATGCAACTGTCACACACTTCGTGCTCTTCGAGATCCCAGAACGCCATTCCCGGGCCACATTTACAATAACCGGATGCAACAGTCACACACTTCGTGCTCTTCGAGTTCCCAGAACTCCATTCCCGGGCCACATTCTGGAGGGCCGGATGCAACAGTCACACACTTCGTGCTCTTCTATTTCCCAGAACTCCACTCCCGGGCCACATTTTTGGATGCTCGTAGCCAAACTTTAAGGCCACTTCGTGCTCTTTATATTTCCCAAACTCCATTTCCCCCTTCCCTCCCCGGGCCACATTTTGGATGCCGGAGCCACTGTAAGGCCCACTTCGGTTCTTCGATTTCCCAGAAACGCCCTCCCGGGCCCGAACAATTCTGGATCCCGGAGCCAACTGTAGGCCACTTCGTGTTCTTCGACTTCCCAGAACTCCATTCCTGGGCATGATTTTGAATGCCCGGAGCCAACTGTAGGCCACTTCGTGTTCTTCGAGTTCCCATAATTCCATTCCCGGGCCACATTTTGAATGCTGAGGCAGGCTGAGGCTGAGGCTGAGGCAGGCTGAGGCTGAGGCAGGCTGAGGCTGAGGGCCGAGGCTGAAGGCAGACTGAGGCTGAGGCTGAAACAGGCTGAGGCTGAGGCTGAGGCAGGCTGAGGCTGAGGCTGAGGCAGGCTGATGCTGAGGCAGGCTGAGGCTGAGGCTGAGGCTGAGGCTGAGGCCGATGCAGGCTGAGGCTGAGGCAGGCTGAGGCTGAGGCCAAGGCTGAAGGCAGACTGAGGCTGAGGCTGAGGCAGGCTGAGGCTGAGGCTGAGGCAGGCTGAGGCTGAGGCAGGCTGAGGCTTAGGCTGAGGCTGATGCAGGCTGAGGCTGAGGCAGGCTGAGGCTGAGGCCGAGGCTGAAGGCAGACTGAGGCTGAGGCTGAAGCAGGCTGAGGCTGAGGCTGAGGCAGGCTGAGGCTGAGGCAGGCTGAGGCTGAGGCTGAGGAGGCTGAGCAGGCTGAGGCTGATCGGTGATGCTGAGGCTGAGGCTGAGGCAGGCTGAGGCTGAGGCAGGCTGAGGCTGAGGCCGAGGCTGAAGGCAGACTGAGGCCGAGGCTGAAGCAGGCTTATGCTGAGGCTGAGGGCAGGCTGAGGCTGAGGCTGAGGCAGGCTGATGCTGAGGCAGGCTGAGGCTGAGGCTGAGGCTGAGGCAGGCTGATGCTGAGGCAGGCTGAGGCTGAGGCCGAGGCTGAAGGCAGACTGAGGCTGAGGCTGAAGCAGGCTGAGGCTGAGGCTGAGGCAGGCTGAGGCTGAGGCTGAGGCAGGCTGAGGCTGAGGCTGAGGCTGCGGCTGTGACTGCGACTGCCGTCGCCACTGCGACTGTCATCGCGAATGCGACTACGACTGCGAGAACAGCAGAATTCTACAACTGGATTCTCATCCGAATCTTAAGGGGAATGCTTCCAGATATGCTCCTACACATCGCTGTTAGGTTGCTTTGCCGGGATAATTTATGGGATGCCTGAGGAGCCTCTTGGGGCTGTTTTGGACCCTTTCGCTAAAAAAAAGTGGTGGGTTCTAATTCCCATCGCCTCCCCGGAGGCTCAAGAATGCCGTCGTGGGGCCCTCTTGGGCCGCTCTTGGAGCGCTCTTGGGGCCCTCTTGGGCCCGTCGTGGGACTATCTTGGGCCGTCTTGGGGCCATCTTGAGGCGTCAAGAGCCCATCGGAGGCGAAAAAGCGAGAATGCAAACAACATTGATTTCCCTTGGGTGTTTGAATGATTTTGGCATCTTAGGGGGGTCCTCGGGGGTTTCGGAGGGCACTTGGAACCGTCTTGGGGCCGCCTTGAGGCCTGTTGGATGCGTGTCGGAGGCTATATTAAGCCATCTACCGCTATCTTGGGCCATCTTGGAGGCCATCTCGCACTCTCTGAAGCCCTCTTGGGGCCATTTTGGGCGAAAAGGGCCCTCTGACACCTCGCGGGGGAGCCCGTCCAGACGCAGGGAGGGGGGGGGAGGTAAACCTCTCGAGCGGGGAAGGAAGGAGGTTGGAAAAGGAAACGCTCTAGACCACCTGCGCCCAGAGGGCTGATGGGATAACTACACTTCCGTTCTTCGCTATTCTGGTACGAGCCGAAAGCACCCCCCCAGCCTCATGATGGCCGCGCGGAGCTGAGTTTCGTCCGTGGGCGGGTCGCCGCCGAGAGCCTCCTTCCAGAAACCGTGTAGATCAGGTATATCATCATCGTCAGCAGGCTGAACGCGAGGCTGGGTCATTGGTTCTGGCACAGCACGCTCGCTACCTGCAGTTGGACGCTGCCGGGGCGACTGAGGCGGCTGGGCTGCGTCTCCAGCTGCTGAGGCTGCAGCGGTGGCTGAGGCAGCACCTCGTGCAGCACGCTCAGCTGCGGCGCGTTCTGCAGCTTGACGCCCCAGTATGCGCAACTCCTCGAAGTTCTCGGCCACGCTCTTGGCCAGGCGCCGCCGTCGGTGCCGAGCCCGGCAAGGAGCGTGCCCAGGGCGCCCGCGTCCATGTCAATGCACGGGAGCGCCGCGCGCAACGAATGGACTCCAGGCTCTGGCTGAGGCGCCTGCGTGGCCACCATGCGCCGAGCAGCCTCTGCCTCCAGCAGCTTTTTGGCGGTCTCGACCTTCGGCGGCCTCAGCATCCCCGACCTGCCTCTGGATCTCCGCCAGCTCCTCCTTGGGCTTGGTGACGGCAGCTTGCTGGCGCTCCTTCCTTTTCTCAAGCGCGGAGCACCGGTTGGCGAGCAGGTGGAGCCTGGCCTCGATCGGTCTGTCGGCCGCGCACCCTGGCGCGGAGCGTGGCCTGCTGCTGGGCCATCTCCCTGCTTGCGACGTGCCAGCGTAGGGTCCGTAGGGCTACCGATGGCCTGGATCGCCGCGGCGAGCTCAGCCAGCGCCTCCTGGGCATCTGGCTCGACGACCCTGTCCGTGTCCATGTCGTCGACCCCTTGCTTCGCCGCCAGCAGCTCCTTGAGCGTGGCAATCTCTCGGTAATTCCCCTGGAGGGCGGACTTGGTAGCGCGCAGCCTTGCGCTTAAGCCCGGTCTTCTGCTTGGCTGAGACCGACAGGGCGCTGCCTGCTGGCCTCTCCCTTGGCCCGAAGAAAATGAGCCCTTTGGGCAGACCGCAAGACCCGCACTTCTTCCTGTCGGCATGGTTCGACTAACGCTCGCCAGACTTGGGATGGGTGCACCACTTGCAGAGCCACTGCTGCGCATTCTGCAAGCGCTGCTTCTGTAAACCGTTGGCTATCATGTATGCGGCCTCGCCGGTCTCCGTCGTGCACAAAATTGGCTCGTGCCCCCGCGCCGTTTCGAAGTACGCGGACACAAACTCGAGCTTCACACACATAAACTCGAGCAGAAACGGTTCAGGAGGACAAGGAGCAGGAGGAGGAGGAGGAGGAGGAGGAGGAGGAGGTGCTGCCCGGCGCGGTGCAGCTTGGTGCCGATCAGCCGCATGGCGTCACTCAGCTCGGCGGCGAGCGATGGGAGGAAGTGAGAAGGGGCGGACCTTCTCAGAAGGCTCAGACGTCCCTGGCCTTCCGAGAAGCTTCTAAGCCTTCCCCGGAAACATGTTACGTCGCAGCGCGGCAGGTGCAGCCCGCATGCGCGCTCAGGCGGTCCCGGAACGCGCAAATCAACCGGCGGCAGCAGGAGGGAAAGACAGGCGAGAGCGGCCGCGAGGGAGCAGGGAGGGAGGGTGGGGGGCACACACATGGCGAGGTGCGTCGCCGAGGAGCGGCCAGGGTGGCCCGAAGACACAGAAACTTCTCAGAAGGCTGGAGGACTTCTGAGAAGCCCCGCCGCCTTCTGAGGAGGCCTTCTCCTTCTCATTTCCCCCCCTCGCCCGCCGTCGACCAGCCGCCCCGCGTGCTGCCCGGCGCGATGCAGCTTGGTGCCGATCATCCGCCTGGCGTCACTCAGGTGGCGGTCAGGGAGGAACAGGTAACAGTCAACGCGCCTACCAGCCCCTGGATTAACAAGTTGTGATCGGGGCGATGCGAGGGGGCCGCTCCTGGGCCCTCCCTTGTTGATTGACCCTCGAGCGTCGACCTTCGACCGACCACAAGACGACTCCAAGACAGGTCCATGGACTGGACCACGGAACGGCACCGCAGAGCGTTGAGCATCGCAGCGGGACGTTCTGTTTAGAATCGTTCGCGCCCTGGGAAATAGTCTACCCCGAACAAGGCCAAGACGCGCGCCTTCATCTAGGTCGCCCTTGTGGCCTTGCCTCTGCGGCCCGTCCTTTGCCGTTTGCACTGGTCGCCCGCCGCCCTAAGAATCCCAGCTTCGGCCTCCAAGGGTCTTGCGTCCTTGCCACCCGTCCTCAATACACGTTCTGACTGTGCCCACGCCGCTACCCTTCCCTCGCTTTCCCCCATTTTTGGACCTCCTGTCGCCACCGCTGGATTCGCCTCGAAATCCTGGTCAAAACGCACCAGCCTGGGAAAGGTTCTGGGGAGTATGGTAGGCTCGCAGTCGAGTCGACTGGCGGCGACCCAGAATCGGTCGATGTTGAACGATCTGACGTTTCGGTCACGGCCGATCGCTCAAGGTTGAACGACCCAGCGCGGTGTCAAAAACCAACGCCAGGATTGGCCTGCTCGAGCCGTTTATTGACGGTCCCGGGGCCCGGCGAGGGCCCCCGAAGGCTGAGAATGGCCCACCTCCCGTCGTTTTTGTTTCTTTTGTTCTGTTTTTCTTCTTCTCCTTTTTTTGTCGAAAGACGACGCGATCATGTCTGGGTTGTTTGGTGCCCCCAAAGGTAGCGGGGGCGTGGCCTGGCGAGGCGTCGCAGCAGCCCGCCGCGCACTGGCCGCCCGGCGGGCTCCGGATGCCCGACGGGTTCCGCCGCGCCCCGCGGCCAGGCGACGAGGCGAGTTCCAGCGCCAACGCCGCCGACCGCAGCCAGCCGCCTAGTCGGCAAGTCTCCGAAGGTCGAGGAGGGGATCGACTACAGAATG